CTGAAGTTGAAGGGAAATTTGAAAATATTTCATTATCAAGGACAACAGTACGACGCATTGACTTAATAGGTTAAGAACTCAAAGAACACCTGAACACTGCAAGCAAAAACTTAGGTTTTCATTGGCTCTCGATATGAGCACAGATAATGAAGACACTGCACAATTATTTTTGTCTTTATCTGTGGAATTGATACAATTTTCGTAATTACAGAGGAATTACTTGGCCTAGAATCCATGAAAAATACAATCACTGATCCGGACCTGTTTGAATGTGCTGTGGATTGTGTTGAGAAACGTGGTTTGCCATGGAATAAAATGACAAGCATAACCACAGATGGGGCCAGAAATTGTGAGAATGATTAAGCTTAAAAAACAAAACAAATTAGAAGCACAACACAGTGATATGTTGACTTTCCATTGCATCTTACACCAAAAAAGCCTTTGTAAAGCAGCACTAGACTTAAAGCATGTGATCAATCCAGTTGTAAATGTAGTGAACACAATATGAGCAAGGGCACTCAACTAACGCAAGTTCAAATCTCTGCTTGAGAACATGGAGTCAGAATATGAAAGCATGATTTAGCACAACATTGTGAGGTGGTTGAGCCTGGGTAAAGTCATAAAGAGAGCCTTGGTATTACAGAATTAAATTCTATTCTTTTAAGATATGAAAGGGATTTCATGTGACCAAAATGGAATGTGAGGTGTAGCGATATGAGCTGATGTTTACAGCAGACATATTTGACAGACTGTATGTGACATTGCAGGAACAGGGCTTATTTGCGCATGAAATGTGGAAAAATGTAAAATCTTTCAACACAAATGTAGGCTTTTTGTAACTTCGACAGAAGTCGTACACAGTCAGAGACTGCGTCTACGCTATATTTAACAGCCCACCACGAGGATTGTAAGTGGCACAAGGCCGAATTTACCGTGGGTTCTCCGAGCCCGTAGGCTCGGCCAAAAATATTCCCAGGGTTTGTCTACCTCCGCGGATGAAATTCTGCCCTTCGGCATAGCTTCGTCCGGGTTCATCTCTGCCAAAGCAGAAAGTTCGACAGCAGTCGCACATAGTCAGAGACTGCGGATATTTAGCAGTCCCCCCACGAGGAATGTATGTAGCACAAGGCCGGTTTCTCCGAGCCCGTAGACTCGGCCAAAAATATTCCCTTAGAACCCGCATAAGCGGGTTCGGGATCTGTCTCCTCCCCGGACGAAGCTTTGCCGAAATGCAAAGTTTCGTCCGGGTTCCTCTCTGCCGAGGCAGAGAGTTTGACAGAAGTCGCACACAGTCTACGCTCCCCAACGGCAGTTAGTATTTATGCGAGGAGGAAGAGTTCATTCTACTGTAGGAGGGTTTACCATAACAAAATCACAAGATTTCAGGGCAAGTAAATTGAGGCTGCATTCAATTTGTTTTCTTCTCCACTGCAGCTTGAGTTAATAAATATAGAAGCTGCTGAACCCACTGAAAGAAATGTATAAGGCTGGGACATTAATTGAGTTTTATAAATCATTGCCTGCTGATAAATTTCCCTGAAGAGATTTGCTGAGAAAATGTTCTGTATATTTCGATCAACATACATTTGTGAACAAAGTTTTTCTTGCATGAAAATTAATAATAATTATAGATGCTCTTTAAACAAACATAAATTTGAAGACAGTAATGAGTATCAAGCAACCTCACTCCAGATTTCAAAAGAATTGTTAAAAGCTGTGATAGGGTACTCTTGCCCCATTAAATAATTAAAAGATAGCCGCTCAGTTTGATGAATCAGAGAGCCGAGTTCGAATTTCAGTCGAATCAATTACATTCACTTATGTACTAATACCCTTGAGAAACGTATGAATCTTCTTCTTTTCTCCCCAGCTATGGGTAAATAGCAGAACAGACCTGGTTCTGTAGCCTTGGATGGCAACTGGTCTACCGCAGAAAGAAATGGTAACCTACTTCGGGGAAAAACTGCCTCATCAGTCATGTATTGAAAGATACATGATCGCCTAAACGTGCATCACGCATGGTATATAACTGAATGACTGATTTTCCAATCGAATCCATTACATTCACTTAAGTGCTAATACCCTTGGGAAAGGTGTAAATCCTCTTCTTCTCCCCTCAGCTATGGGTAAATAGCAGGACAGACCGTGTTCTGTAGCCTTTGATGGTGTTATGGTCCAAGGTCCTTGTACCACGATGATGGTCCAAGGTAGAACCAATAAAGAAGAACTCGAACACGGATATGGAATAACACAGATATATTACAAACAGGAATATATACAGAGAAGTAGAAAGTGTTAGTACGAACAATCAGGTTTAGTAGAGAGAGCAATGTAGTCTCGACCAGTATCACTATTTCAATGTCTTGCAGTAATTGTCTGAACGCGACTCTGTTTCGGACTGCCTCTGGCTCGACTGACTGACTCGCTCGCTAAGACTGACTGACAGACTCCTGACGGATCTCACTTCAGACTGAACGGTATTTAGTCCCCCCCCCAGGGCATCATGTAGCACAAGGCCGGTTTAACGTGGGATCTCCGAGCCCGTGGGATCTCCCAGTCCGTGGGATCTCCGAGGCTGTGGGCTCGGCCAAAAATATGCCCTTTGAACCCGTATCAACGGATTCAGGGTCGATTTACCTCCCCGAAAGAGACTCCGTTATTCGGCGTAGCCTCGTTCAGGTTCCTCCCCACCCGAAGGCAGAGAGTTCAACCGATCAGCCGATCAGCCGGTCAGCCGGTCGCCCGACTTCAGACTGAACTCCCTGCTTCTTCTTGAGGCGCAGTATTTATTACGTATGGAATAGTCCATTATGTTATTATGGGTAAGGTCCCATGACATATGGCAACTGGTATACCGCAGAAAGAAATGGAAACCTACTGCGGGGAAAAAATCTGCCTCGTCAGACATGTATCGAAAGATACATGATCGCCTAAACGTGTATCACGCATGACACATAACTGACTGATGTAAAATTGTTTAAGTTCTATTTATTGATTTTTATGCTTGAAATTACACCTTTTCAGAAATAAAACTTCATGTTCAGCCAAAACAATTACCCACCCCTGATCTAGACCTTCGTCATAAATACGGGTTGTCGCACCCAAAAAAACTGATATAATGGTTTAGTCCAATAACAGCCAATTCTCGCTCAAATGATCTCAAATTTTAGTGCGATCTCAATGAGAATCTACAAAGAAGATCGATCGGGCGTACCAATGATAATGACAATGTACTGTTGAAATGGCCAAAACGTTCACCTGACTTTATACCGCGTGATTTTTTCCTTGCTCTATGTGAAAGGATAGGTCTATATCCTCCCTTTTCTTACAAGCCTAGAGGAACAAACAGAGAAACACAGAGTCGCGAAAGAATGTTACGCAAGACATGCTACAGCGTGTTTGGCAGGAGCTGGACTACTGACTTGACGTGTGTCGTATTACACGTGAAGAGCATACTTAACATTTGTGAGGGTTTTTTTTTTAAATAGGTTATAAAATCTAATTCCCTTTTGAATATTCTTGTTATATAGGAATAAAGTGTCGCTGCCGACACTTGAGTTTGAACATAGATCGCCAGTGAACTAACTCAGGCGATCCCATTATTGAATTAAGTGGATCACGTGACCATAGAGGAAACGCATATATATATAAGAAGTAGATGACGACTAACGATCGCTATTCCTATTCTATCCTCTACTCGCAGGAGAGCCCGGCGTTGCCCGGGGATGTAACAGTAAGAGATAGATCAAGTGTCGACCATCATAAAGACTGAAAAATAAAATTGACAAAGATTATTGTTTAAGGTTGACGGACACGCATGCGTTAATTAGTTTGTTTGTTTGTTTTTTTTTTTGTTTTTTACGAATTGGTCAAACCCAAACTCAAACAAAAACATTGTTTTCAATCGTTATGAGTCTACCGATTGAATAGAATTTTATTATAAACAATTCTCTTGTAAATGGAATTTTAAAGCATTCTGAATGTAAAAAGTAAAAGAAAACAGTGTGCAAAACAATAAAACACTACCTGCCAAAAAAAAAAAAGTAAGTTTTGTTGAAATCGGTTTGAAAAATGTAGGAAATCCGATCCCATATATAAACGGACACACACACACACACACACACACACACACACACACACACACACACACACACACACACACACACAGCCTGGGTTTTATAAGTATAACTCGATATGAGTTCCTGCGACAGAATCGTGTTTTCAAATTGATTTCGTACAAAAACAATTGTGTTTTCCCAATTTTTTGCGCTGTCAGAACCACCGCAAGGTAATTTTAAAATGTAATGTTGAAATCGGTTGAAAAATGTGGGAAATCCGATCCAATATATAAACGTACAGACACACACACACACACACACACACACACACACGCACACACACACACAATCTGCGTTTTATAATAAATAAGATTACTATTCGGATCGCTATTTCTAGTCTATTCTCTATTACTATACGGAGCGCTATTCTCTACTTTATTCACCATGCTATTTCTCTATTTGGATCACTATACGGATTACTATTCGAGCGAGTATAATAGAGCAAGTACTAATCGTGCGAGTGTTATTCGAAGGCGTCTGACACCAGTATTGTTCAACGGCGTTACTATTGTTGTCTGCGATTACAAAGAATCTACTACAACGAGCATTACGAAAATGACAACGAGTATTCCTTAACATTACAAAAATGTCGAAAGGGTGTTCGTTGACATCACAAAAATTCTGTTCGAATTTTGGCTAAATATTTTTCTTTTCAATATGAAGCCTATTTAATTTTTCGTTTGCCTGTATTTAATATTCACATTGTAAATTATGTTAATTATTTTTTTGACGGGGGTGGGCACCTTCAACTATTGCGTTTTACAGTGCCAACGATCTGCTAAAAGTTAAATTCTCTGCTTCTGTATATTGTAAACATGTTTCTTCGTCTAGATTTTTTCTAGTTTTTCTTCATTTAGAAGATGCCCAAATTATTAAGACAAAATGATATATGATCATATCTTTGAATTCTTCATATCTATCTATCTATCTATCTATCTATCTATCTATCTATCTCAGTCTGTTCATATCTATCTATCTCAGTCTGTTTATGTCTATCTATCCCATTCTGTTCATATCTATCTATCTATCTATCTATCTATCTATCTATCTATCTATCTATCTCAGTCTGTTTATATCTATCTATCCCATTCTGTTCATATCTATCTATCTATCTATCTATCTATCTATCTATCTATCTATCTATCTATCTCAGTCTGTTTATATCTATCTATCCCATTCTGTTCATATCTATCTATCTATCCAAAATTATCTATTTATGCCTATTCATATCTATCTATTTATTTATCTATTTATGTTCATATATATTTGAATTGTTTATATCTATGTTCATATTTGAATTGGTTCATATCTATTTATCTATCTATCTCGCATATCTATCTATCTCAGTCTGTTTATATCTATCTATCTATCTATCTATCTATCTATCTATCTATCTATCTGTGCCTCCAAATATTTTTATCGGCACAGATAACCTTGTTTTCGAAAGACTGTGGCAATGCTTGCAAGCGTAAAACTTCGTAGGGGGAGAACCAGAGTGTTTCCACTGTTTGCTTTGAATCTTTGATTCAGGTTCAAAGTGATGAATTCAAGTTTCATCTTGATAGTGCATTATGTGTAGCAAGGTCTATTTTATTATCCAAACAATTATTGCTGACGATTATATTTTAAATCATTCTACAGGTTATTGAGTGGAACTAATTGTGGATCTGAATGAAGTTATTTAAAGCTAATTTATAGTTTGTTTACTTTTACTTAGGTACCTCTACGAAATCGCTAAAAATCAGTACACCGTGACGAAAACATGCTCCAAAGGTAAAATGAAAATAGTTTTGTCGACACAAATCCTTATGTTATTATTAAGAGGTAAGATCAAAGTATTTTTTGAATGTTTAATTTTGCTCTTTTTTAAAACATTGGAAATTTTCCTTAAAAAACTTGTTTTTCTTGCATCAGCGGTTATATTAACTTTTAGCATCGCAAATTTTAGCCGCTTTTTTGCGGTGATAGACACATTGATTTGGAAATTCTTGCAAAAATCAAATAATTACCGGATTTTAATGAAATTTTCAGGAAATATTCACAAATCAATTACATTATTTTTTAGTTTTTTATTAGAAAATCTTGGTAAAAATATTGTAGTTTTTATATATGTTTCATCCTTTTACTTAATTATTATATTAGTTAAAAGCAGAATATTTACCGAAAATCTCTTCTGAATCAAAAAATAAAAAAAACTCATTAAAACTAAGATATTATTTAATTAGAGAAGATTTTATGAATAATATATATTGAAGATAAAATTGTCTAAAGGAAAAAATTTCGGTAAAAAATCAATTTTTACAAGATTTTTTATTTTTTACAATTTTAAACTGAATATTATATCGTTTTAAGTAAGTAAGTAAGGCCGGTAAATGTTGTTTAATACTGTTTATTATAAACAGACCATTTACTTAAATATTTGTATCTATAAAAAAGAATGTATAAACTTAAAAATGTCTTTTTATATATATATATATATATATATATATATATATATATATATATATATATATATATATAGTTAAGACGACTGGCAAGGTACGGCGATTAAACTTGTTTTTTTTGCATATATGATATACGGGCAAAATTTCTAAGTATAGATGTTTAAACCTATAATATTATCATTAAAAGGTCACATGTTTTGAGGGTTGTCCCCGCTTACGGGGAAAAAACCCTCATATAAATTTTATCATCTGCTCCACCATGCTTAACTAGGAACACGTTCGGCGCTCATTCGATTGTTAATAAAGCGATTAACACGTCCGAAAAACAAAAAATGCTTGTATACAACATTTTATGCTATAAGTTATTTTTGTTTCAAATCAGATTAATTTAACTTTAAATTTGCTAATTTTCCTCTCAACGTTTCAGAAGTATATAATTTATTTTATTAACATTTTTAGAATCGAGAATTAACTTTTGTTTACAAATGTGTCAAAATGGCCGTTTTTATCGATTTTATTGAAATAATCGATTCTGGTCAATATATTTTGTTTGAAATACACCATAATTATAATTGCTCTTTGAAATACACATATCGAAAAGATGTTTAGAAAGGTTTCTGTTATTCACGTATTTATTAATTGTAAATGATGTTTTGTGTGCGTAGTTTTTCTGTTTCCGGGCTCATTCAGATATTTCTATGTATGTCTTCGTTATCTGCAGCTTTTACAGTGGCTTGGTATATGATATTGTTTTGCAAGCAATTGCCGTTTAAAGGACATTCGTTTTTGCTCTGTAATTACACATGCGTTGATCTGCGTGGGTGGTTTGTTGGCAATTTTTCAGTTGAAAATTTTATATTATTTCGTGCAACTGTAACTGATGTTTATCTTCTGTTTCAATTCATGACTGGCTAGCCAGAAGATTTACCCGCACACGCCGGACATATTTCTCGGCGGTAGTCTGTCTTGCTTTTCAGCCCACATCTTGGGTGGGAAAGGTGGTTTCATGTCTTTTCCCAAGGGGTATGCGCGCATAAGTGAATGTCACGAACACAACTGGAATTCGAAAGACAAAATATCACATCTATCTATCTCAGTCTGTTTCTATATATCTATCTATCTATCTATCTCATACAACTATCTATCTCAGTCTGTTTATATCTATCTATCTATCTATCTATCTATCTATCTATCTATCTATCTATCTATCTATCTCAGTCTGTTTATATCTATCTATCTATCTATCTATCTATCTATGCCATAAATATCCATTAAAGCCAAAATATCCATTACTCCACATCGCACTGCCTAAAAAGGAACCATTTTCTTCATACCTAGTAGATATGAAGAAATTTTGATTAGATAGATAGATAATGAATAGACTGAGATAGATATAAACAGAGGGATATATATATATATATATATATATATATATATATATATATATATATATATATATATATCGATAGATACAATGATAGATAATGAACAGACATAGGGAGAGAAGAGATTGAGAGAGATAAAAATGATGAACAGACTGAGAAAGGTAAAAATGAACAGACGGAGATATATATATATATATATATATATATATATATATATATATATATAGATAGATAGATAGATAGATAGATAGATGATAGAATAGATGAACAGATGGCAATAAATATATATATATATATATATATATATATATATATATATAGAGAGAGAGAGAGAGATAAATAGTTAATTAACAGACTGAGATAGAGAGACAGAGAGGTAGAATGCTGATGGACTGAAAAAGGTAGATATGA